ATTGGTGTGGATTACAATAAAAATACATAAATACAACGGAACCATTAACCATTCAACCAGTGATTAAGGTTTAAGAAGGAAAATGTTGCTAGCAAAGTCTCTAGAGTAGAGAATGTCACTGTATTAATTAACTCTGCTTCATGTCCTTCGTGCCTAATATGAAACATTTGCTTGTTCCCTTTTAATAAAACAAAGCTTTTCAATTTGTTTTTGGGCTAAGAGAAGAGTTTATCACTTGGGCCTTTGTAAAGAGGTGTTACAAAACTATGAGAAATATCTTCAGTAGCAATTTTGCAAAATCTTGTCTGTTTCTTCTGTCCATCTTTCCTTCACACAGAAATCAAGGGTATGAGCCTAGTGTGCTGATGCATGCCCGGAATCCCAGTTCCTTGGGAAGTTAAAGTAGGAGGATCTCAAGTGTAAGGCCAGCCTAGACAATTTAGAGAGACTTTGTCTAAACAAAAAAAAATTTGTTTTAAAAAGAAATTGGGCAAGGGTATGGGGAAAAAATGAGAACCAAGATCTGTCATGTAAAGGTACAAGATCCCAATGATGAATATAACTGTACTGTATACTTAAAAAAAAAGAGGAAACAAAAGAAAACAAAGTCGTAGTTGAAAACAATGGAACATCATATTTATGTAATCCAGATATACAATGTTATTGGAACCTAACCTAATATTGGGGAATTTTAAGAATTCGTGGATAATGTTTTTTTGGCCACTGCTTCTCAAACTTTCACATAAATGCGCACCACCTAGTGATCTTGTTAAACTTGGTTTCTGATTCAGAGGGTCTAGGCTAGGGACTGGGGATATGCATTTCTACCAGGTTTCTAGGTAATACTGAGGCTGCTGGTCCAGAGACTACATTTTTACAAGCAGATAATTCTCAGATATCAGATGTCTCAAATGGAGTTTTGACAGAAGAATGAGAATATATAATTCCAGATTATATGGGTCCCTATTGTGTACCTTACATGCAGACATCTTTGTTATTTTGGTTCAAAGGATTTAGTGTGATAAGTAAATGTGTTTATGTGAAGAGTGGAGGAATGAAACAATAAGAGTTGACTTTAAGTCACTGCTTATTCTTGTTGGCTCTTTTTGAAGAAAAAAAAAACCCGAGACTTTCTCAAATAGCTGAAATAAAAGGAAGAGGCAGAAGGATGGGTCTTTGTGCTGCATGGAAATGAAGAAAGAAGTAGTCCCAAACTCTTGGGAACCAAGGCAGGTATAAGCACTAAGTTACTTTTCTCTAAATTTCTTTTCATATCAGTTTCTCTTAGTGTATCTGCCGTCTTTTTCATGCATGCTATTGGACAGTTTATTCTGTCATTCTCCCTCACACACTTCCTTATTCTCACTGAACTTCAGCTGCAGATGGCCCCGCTCTACCCCCTGACCTGTCTTCAGCATCAATTGCAATTGCTGAAAGCTTATTTTTTTTTTTTTTTGGAATATGCATTTCATATTGTTGAGATGTGCATAGTAGGCCTTGGGGCACTGGCACACTCAGGACTTGGCTGCCATTACCTACAATTTCAATCAGTGCTGACGGGGGAAAGGCAGGATTTAACTGATGAAAAAAGCAAGAAATATAGCCAGAAAAGACTACCACTTCAGAGAGACTGCCGGCAGGACACTTGCCCCAGGAAAAGATCTACAGCAAAGCAAGCATTCTGTGGCTTGGTCCGTTTTACTCATTTTTTAAATGAAGGCTATCTCTCCTCTTCATGGATGTGGTTCTGTCATAGTATGAATTACAGGGAGGGCCAAGAACAGCATGTGCTTTATTGCTCTCTTGTTGCTTCATAGTCAGAGGCCGGCCCAATAGGAATATTTCACAGGATCAGTGATGGGAATCCATTAAATTAATGAAACTGTTTAAACAATCCACCTCAGGCTTACTTTTCTTTTGAGATATCTTTATTTTAATTCAATGTGGGGAAAAAGGGTTTAAAGAACCTAATCTATCCAAAATATAAACACATGTATGGGACTGTATGATACCAATGCAAGAAAGGGAATTTGGGCTTGTTTTGCAAAAAACTTTATGAGCAGGGAGCCCGTCAGCCATCCGTGGTCACCTTTCTCCTCTACTTGAAATGCTGCGCTGTCATTCCCAGGACCTCAGAGGGAGTTGGCATCCTCATGCACAAGTTTCTATGTGCTCAGAACAGGAAATGGAGGGATGTTTGAGAAAGCAGATAAGTGGGAATAAGATCTGGCCCCTAACCTGTCTTATCCCCCTTTTTTCTTTTTGTACTATTTGTTCCTGGGGAAGGAGGGTAATGGGGCACATTATTTCTCTGTTCCCTCAACACAGACTTTTTATGAGCACTATTTTCAGTTCTTATTTGCTGATCAATAAAGTCATGGGTAGGTCTTGTCTGTTCTCTGAGATAAAATACTTGCATGCATAACTAGTCTCTATCCAGCCGAACAAGCGCCAGTTTCTCTTTGTTTTTCATAGTGTTTCTGAGAGATAAGAGGAAACCACCCAGACATGATACATGACCAGAGGAGGTTTTAAAATAATATTTTATGAACTCATTCCCCATTCTGAGCTGTGGATTAGGGATGGAAAGAATAAGGAGATCACCACATATATTCTCGATTTTTTTTCCTCTGGATTCAAAACAAGCAGGCAAATACCATATATGAACACAAAAATATACAAGTAAGTGTTCAACTGAAAAAAGAGTAAATCAGTGGTAAGTCTTGGTAATGAAAATTAAATAGGAAAATTTTAGTAATTCAAATCCATTCAGAGAAAATTCAGAGACCATTTCCTACTGCAAAAACTGGTTCTGTCATAGTGATGAAAATCAGTATATACATGACAGGCCCTGCATACAGTCAAATAGCAAGATAGTCTCCCAGAAATATGTGTTAAGGAACCAGGATAGAATCCTATTAAGTGGATGTCCTTTAAAGTTCTTAGCAGGTTTCTGAGTGAGAGTCAGGATGGAAGGGTTGATTTAAGATTAATGTTGCAAGGTTTTAAGTAAGACTGGATATAAGATCAGGTTGCAGAGAGTAAACGTTTTCAACAGCAAATAGAAAGTTCAGTTGGAATTTGAATGGATCTAGGGTAGAAATCATTAAGGAGAAACTTGCTATTAGGCTAAAGAAAGATCTTGGACTGACTTGCCTTGACAGTGAAGATGCATAGAAAGATAAGGTCTTCAGGAGCTGTAAGCAGAAAGGCAGCTTAAACACAAGAGACAAAGATAGGTAGCTAATAAAAGGGAAATTTAAGTGGAAAGCCATGGCATAATTGTTTTGGAGCAGATAAAACCTAAGGAGGAAGTAAATCTTTAGTGAAACCTAGAGATCCTTCATTACATATGTTATATTGCCTACTTCCATCTCTAGGTTCATGAACTTTAATTGCTCTGTTGCAGACTTTTTTCTACATCTCTTCTCCATCACTGGACAGTAGAGTCCCTATAGGAAAAAATCTGTACTATATTTTCTAGAATTTTCCCACAATACATACTGTGGTGTATCTTACTAGAATAAACATTCAATAAATGTTAATTAGCAGAATTAATTCATAAAGTTTCATTAAGTAATTATTTTTCCAAAATAAGGGATAGTTTTGTAGAAACCAAAATCTGAAGCATATTTTACTCTTCTAATATTTGGTAAATCAGGGGAGCAATTTAATACTTACATCATTAGGATTTTTTTCAGAAAAAGCTGGTGGGTCTAATGCCAGATATCGGGAAGGAAAATGAGACAAATGAGTCTTAGAAGAGAGCTCAAAATCTAATGGACTTTTACTTTTTCTTAGATTCATTCAAGCAAGCAAAATGAACTTCCAGTGACTCTTTCTGGTTAATCTGCCCAGTATTTTTTCTGTGCAAGTCTGGATTTTGGAAGGTTGGCTTCATGAGAGCAGAGGTCTTACCTGTCATATTTACTGATATCACCAGCATCTAAAAAAGGCTTTCCTGGAACAGGGTAGAGGCTTAGGAAATAATCACAGGAGGAAGGGGAAGGCTGAGGGAGACAGAAGCAAGGAAAGAAAAAAAGGTATAAAAGGTTCTTCTTTTCATACCAATTAACCTGACATTTAATTCATTTATTCATCAGTTACCAATGCCCCTGTCAACTTCTATTAGGCACCAGAGATTAAAAAAATGATGAGGTGGCACAGTTTTGCTCCCAAAGAAATGCTAGTCTAGTGAGAGACCTACCACAGCAGGTGGTAAACGCTTCACCAGAGCAAGAGGCCTGGTGACATGGGAGGCCTGCCAAAAGCATCTAGTCTGCCCCGAGGAAGGACAGGACACAGAACACAGTGCAAACCCGAGACGAATCTTAATGAAATCCATAATGCTCTGAAGACTTGAAAACATTTTAATCTCTATAGTCCTAAAATTGATTGTAGATAGATTGTCTGCAGGTCCCTACCTTTTTTGCTATCCTCTAGTGAGAGTCATTTTGATGTCAGAAGTTGTTTTTCTTGGTACTATTGGACTTTGGCTTTACTTAAGGAATGCAGATGGCTGCAACGAGTCTGTTATACAGCAGTTTGTCATAAAACATGGCTTTATAAGCATAGTCTAAAAGTCACAAATTGAAGATTTGTTGTCTGGGCCAGACCTACACAGTACCATTTACCAGGAGTAACAGCCTTGTTAAGCATGATCTGTTTGCACCACTGTTTCTTCTTTTCTGAGCAAATTCTTGTTCCTGTGATGAGGATTAATGATATAACATATATAAGATGGTCTTTGCATTTTATAACAGCCTACAATGGTAAAGTTGTGTTTTCAGTAAAACAGTGAATTTTCTGAAGAAGATAGATGTGATATCACAGGGAACTCAGTGTTAAAAAATAAATTGTGGGTTGGCTGAGCTTATTTTTATATAGGAAGGAAAGTGGGGATATGCTGATGGGCTTTTTAAGCAAAATAATAAAATCTAACGTCTGGCAGGGGGAAAAGGATTTTGCTTTGACCTCTGCTTCTTGATTTCCTCAATCAGGTGCTGACTCCAGCACAGATCAAGTCACTTTGCCAGGCGATCCTGGATTCTGGGAAGCAGTATGCTATAAAGAAAAGGAAACCATTCCCCCTGATGTACTCCTACTATGGAACTGAATACCTAGGTGAGTGGAAGTATTGGCGTAGGCCTCTAGAATGGAAGAAGACTCTACTATTAGCACCAAGTAAGGAGTGGAACCTTTTGTTTTTGACATAGGTGATCACTATTCATTAACAAGAAATACTTAAAAGATCATCTAAAAGCAAATATTGGTAGATATGACAAATCACAATTTAATATTTGTTTTTATTGTCTGCCTGACAAAGATCTGACAGAGATGTAGCTGTATTAACAATTACTTTTGCTAAATACTAAAATATTTATTCTAAGTAAGAAGCCTATTGGCCTAATTTTCATTATCTTTCTTTTCCTTCCTCCCTCTTACCCTCCTTCCCTTCCTGTTTCCCTCCCTTCCCTCCTTCTTCACTTTCTTCTTTCCTTCCATCCTTTTTATTTTTGAGATGAAATATCTCTGTGTTGCCCAGGCTGGCCTTGAACTCCTAGTCTCAAGTGATCTTTCTGCCGCAGCCTTCCCAGTAGCTGGAGCTATAGGCATGTTGCCACCATACCTGGTTCAATTTTTCTGAAAGATTGTGAATTTTTTTACAATGATTGCAAGTATTTCCTCTGCTCAGTGAAACAGATTTCAGCCACTAACATTTTGAAGTTTTTAATAGTAGTGGATTGATAAAAGATTCCTAAATGACAAGGACCAATTTTGAACTTGGAGCTATGTAGAGTAAATTATTTACTTCCCTTTTGAGTCCTGAGTAAGATTTGCAAGGCCCTTTTTTAGACTACCTGCCTGTTTTTCCAGATTCAAACTTTATCTCCCCACTCCATTTCTGTTCAACATAGTCTCCCACACATAAGAAGTCCTCACATCTTCATACCTTTGTGCATATTTATTTTGCCTAGAATGTTTCACTTCCCCTAAATCCTTCATCTACCTTTAAGATCCAGAATGCAAGACTGCACCAACATCAGAAGATCTGTGGAGATCTTTTCTCTTCCTTAAAAGGATTGTTGAACTCTCTCAGGAGAAACATTTATGTTTCAGATTTTTTCCTCAGCAAATCGGATTAACATCATGTCACCCTGCCCACACTTTTATTGGAGCCCTCATCACATAAGACAGTATTAATGGTTTATCTATCAAACCAACTTAGTGGCCTTTGTGCACCTTCAGGATGGGAACTTACTGTATTATTTATTTTTGTGATACCTAGACCTTTAGTACAGAGCTTGCACATAATGAAGGTATTCAAATGTATGGATTCATGGCTACTGAACAGTATTACTGAGAATTTTCTCAAAGAATTGTGAAGTTCCTGTTTAGGTTTCCCTAGAATCAAACCTTGAGACAAGGATTTAAGTGTAAAAGGTTTATTCAACAGGAAATCCCAGAAAACCTTTATAGAAGAGTGTGGAAATGAGACAGGAAAGAAAAAGTAGCTAAATGGGTAATGGGGAGCAGCTGTGGATAACTGAGGCTCGGTTCCTTTGGGGCTTCTTAGAGACTGTGTAGAACATACTTCAGTTGTCTCACTGACGTTGTTAAGGAAATTCAGGTATTCATCCCCCACCTCCCTGCTTTATTGATCAACTCCTTCAGAGGTGTTGATTTCTTAGTATTTCTACCCTGTCCCTAGTAGCTGGGTCTGCTCCTGTGGCTAGAGAAAGCCTCAGGCAGAATGATAGACCGTTGAAGTAGGAAATGGGGAGGGTAGGGGCATCTGAATGGTAAATGGGGCAGGGCCCTAGCAGTGGCTGCTCTAGTCCCCTGAAAAATAGAGAGCTAGTCTCATTGTTTAAATGTTTTAAAAGAGAAATTAACATTCTGGCCAATAATACAAACCAGGTTTCTATCAAATGTATAAACATTTTCCTGAAAAAGCAAGCTTTTTTCTAACAGCTGAAATCTAGCAAAAGAAAGGTACTTTGACATTTCACGACCAAATATTTTTGGTTTTTTTGATACAGGGTCTCACTATGTAGTTGAGACTGACCTGGAACTCACTATGAGCCCAGGCTGGTCTCGAACTCACAGCAATCCTCCTGCCTCAGCCTCCCGAGTGCTGGGATCACAGGTGTGCGTCACCATGCTTGGCCCATGACCAAATTTTAAAATCATTAAAATTTTAACCAAATACAGCTAAAAGTCTGTTTCTGGGGAATCAAGAGTTCCAAGTATGGCAAACTGAAAATTTCCCAAATAAAAAGAAAAGGCCTTAAAATTAGAGAGCTGAGTTTAAAGAAATAGCTCTTGGGATGTATTAACCTCAGTACAACTAATTAAGACTCTACTAATAGGGAGCCAGTGAAAATTCCTACAGGGACTGGGATTCCTTTTCCCTTTGATAAGCTAATGCCTTTTCCAAAAAACAAGTTTAGGCTTCTGACGATTCAGTATTCTCTGCTAGAAGTGTTTGTTCAGAGGACACCATTTCCCTGGAGCCTTAAATTCCCCCTCAAGCCAAGTTAAGCTCTCCTTCCTTGATTCTCTCCTAGCCCCTTGTATTAGTTGAAGTTCTCCAGACAAATAGATGTTATTTATTACTTGAGCTAGTTCCTATAATAAATAATATATGGTAAAGAACTGGCTCAAACATTTATGGAAGCTGAAAAAGCCAGAATCAGGAAAGCTGATGATGTAAGTAAGATGCAGTGTGAGTCCAAGTCCAAAGGGAAGAGAAGACTGATGTCTGACCTGGAGAATTCTTTCTTAGCCTTTTTGTTCCTTTAAGGCCTTGAGTGAGGCTGGAGGTTTAGCACAGTGGTTCCGCTTCCTGACTCATAATTGCGAGGTCCTGAGTTTGATTCCCGTCACAAAAAAAATAAATAAATAAATAAAAAATAAAAATTCATAAGGCCTTGGGTGAATTGGATGAAGCCTACTATGTTGGAGAAGTCAATTTGATCTTACTCAGTCTACAGGTTCAAATGATATTTTCATCAAGAAATAACCCTCACAGACACACCTAGAAATAGTGTTTATCCAAATATGTGGGCAACACGTGGCTCAGTTAAGTTGTCACATAAAATTAATCATCACACTCCTGGCACTAATCTAGCATAGAGCACCTAATACCTCAAGTTCTAGGTATTTACAAGTCCAACTTTCTCACCAAACTGGATGGGAAAGTCTTCAAAGTTATGGACAAATTTGTATCCATCTGTGTATCCCCAGGTCAAGACAATGTCCAATTCACAAGTGAATTATTAAATACGAAGAATTAATGCTACTTATTAATGTTTACAGAAGGATTTATTCTGTTTTGTTCACTGACCTAACTTTAGTACCTAGAACAGTATCTGAGGCCATAGCAGATGCTTAATACTTCTATGTTGAATGAATGAACAAATGTTTAGGGTATCTAGACCAAATTATTTTCAAGTCCTTTAGGAGCATTTTCATAAAAGGTATAGATATGTTAATTAGTTTAGAAAAATCTCTTCTATGAAATAGTGGTTGTCAACAGACTTTTTCCATGAAGAATTTCACAGTAAATATTTTAGGGCCATATGGTAAATATTGTGGGCCATATGGTCTCTGTCACAAATACAGCTATTAAACTGTCATAACAATAAAGCAGCCATAGACACTCTGCAAATGAGTGTGGCTATGTTCCAATAAAACTTTATTCACAAAAACAGGCAGTGGCCTACATCTGGCCTGCATGCTGTTGTAAGTAATACTGCTATTTTTATCCTGTGATTATCTTTTCACTAAGTCACTGTGGCTCTCTTCCCTACAGGGGCAGCTCATGGCCTGTCATCCATTCTCCAGATGCTTCTTTCTTACCATGAGCACCTCAAGCCTGCAGATCGTGAACTGGTGTGGCAGAGTGTGGACTTCCTCATGGAACAGGAACAGAATTGCAACTGGCCACCGGAGCTCGGGGAGACCATTGAGAGAGAGAATGAGCTGGTCCACTGGTGCCATGGTGCTCCAGGTCTTGAACGCACTGTTGTCTGAAAGCAAAGCCTATTATCTAGCTTAGCTAAAAGGAGGTTTCTTTTCTGAGATGTGAAGTAAAAGATTTCTCATTTTAGGTCTTTACTGTGTGAGAGTAAAAGGCCAAGATGAGGGATGGGGGGTGGGGAGGAGCAGTAGAGCACTTGCCTAGAATGCATGAGGCCCTGGGTTCCATCCCCTGCACTGCTCCCCACCTCAAAAAAGACCAGGCTGGAATTTTTCAAAGCCAGAAATGTCTTGATCTGTAAAGGACCTCTGGAAATAATTTAAATATATATGATCTATACCTCTTTATACATAACATTAAACTAGCAATACCCAATAAAAATAAAAACAATGTGTAATATAAAATTTTAGAGGTAAGGAGTATAGCTCAATACTAGACTACATGCTTATCCTGACAGGTTCAATACAGAGCACCAAGTACCCCCAGAAAAAAAAAATAGATGGGTGAAATAAATTTAATAGTATTTATTATAGAAACCTATATACCCATAATATCAACAGTAATCAATTTAAAAATTGTAGTTCACATTTTTAAAAATACCAAATATTTAAAATCCATTGTCTGTTTCACACTTACATCACTCGTCAGTTAGAACAGCCACATTTCAAAAGATGAATAGTTAAATTGGATGGTTCCGATCTGGAGCCTGCCAACTCTTATTAATAAGAGAATTTGCCACCTACCTCTCACACACAAGGTCCTGAGTTCAACCCCTGGTATGGAGAGAGAGAGAGAGAGAGAGAGAGAGAGAGAGAGAGAGAGTCTGCATTCTTAACAATAATTTTAGGTAATTTCTATGCACCTTTAAGTTTAGGATGCACAGTTTCAAAACTTCTTCTTCAAATGAGGAATTACTGTAGTTCCTAATAAAAGTCTAGAGGAATGGAAAGCCATCTCTAGTGAACTCTCACCCTTTGTTTTTAAAATCCCATTACACTAGTAATTAGGCCTTTGGAGAAGAGGCAATTTAAAGAAGTTAAATTCAAACAAATCAATTAATTCTGATTACTTTTTAGGAGGGAGATTGATATACCAAAATCACATAAAATTTTTGTATTATGAGTTGATTTAATTTTCAAGGATATGATTCAATCACAAGAGCACAGCTTTACAATATATTTATTGTCATCAGATTTTTTACTACCTCCTTTCCCCTCCTTAGTTAATGTTATTTAATCCAACTATAATTCCACTTTTTCCTTGATATAGTTTAACTTGAAGAATAATGTAAGCATAGGTATTGCCATATTTTTTCTGCCTGCCTCTTTCACCTGTGGGAAAACACTTCAGATTGTGTACTTGTTCCAGGACATTGTAGATTTTGTCCACCATAACTCGTGCCAGGTACAATTTGTTCTCATTTCTTCTTGCTTTGACCTCCTTGGAATAAAAACACGGTAGCTATTTACCATCCTGGAAATTAAGTTTCTTCATGTTATGCTCAATACATCCATTTCCCTTTCCCTTTCATCATTCTCAGTGACGATCTGTCTGGATATCCTCCAAGTGTCCCAGGATCTTTGAATTTTGGAGATACCCCAAATTAAATGCAGAATATTGTAAAAGCACTCAATGTGCTGTAAAAGCCCTTAGTAGAGTAGAAAGATAATCTACTAAAATGAGTGAGTGAGCCAGTTAATTGACATAGGTGTCTTGAAGGGCATTCATCCTTTCTATACACCAAATGCCATCTGTCTCTGAAAACCATCTACTCTAATAGTGCATCTACTCTAACAGCATGGGGCTCATCACATTGGGGACTTGATTTATCCTCCTTTATCATTCATATTAATTATTTTGAGAAAATTAAGTTCCAAAGTCAAATCATTCCTTCCATATACTCACTTGGCTGCCAACAAAAAAACCCAATTCTCAAATGAATTAAAAACTCACTGGGGCCTATAATTTCTGCCAGCCCCCCTCCCCATCTCAAGGGTACTGGTCTTCCTTTTATGAGGTGCTTTTAAAACAGTGTCAGGAGTGATTATAACTATGAGAAGTGCAAGTCAAAAATGTTTGCCATCTTTGTAAAGCTGGCAAAACCAAGTTGCAAAAAAAAATCTACAAGAAATGATTTAGAAAAATAATTGCATTTGTTTGAGGAAAAACATTTTAAGAATAGATTTATGAATAGCACAGATGGTTAGGGATGGCAGACCAACCCTGTGATTAAAAACCTGCCAAAGATAATCCACAATGGGGAACTTCATTAATGGTACTTTATCTTTTCTTTTGTTTCCTATTGACTTTCCCTCAGATTACCTCCACAGGTGACAGCCCTGTTGTCATTTATACACTATAGAAATAATTTCTGACTATAGGTTGGTAACTGGATTCTAATTGTAGCTCCAACACTACCATGGAAGTCATCCGAGAAAACTCGCTCTGTGAAATGAGCACTTTGGGATAGATAAAAACTCAATCTTTTTATTACAATAGGCTTATTTTCTACTTTGATCCTTGCCATCCCTGAGGAATATGTCCCAGTTGCTTTGCAAACACCCACATTTATAAATATCTCCCATGGCATACAGCTTTTTCTCACTGAAAGCTGCAGTAAAATGTTGCAGGAAGATTCATATGACCCCTTGATACCCCTGATGACTGCAATACAGGAAGAAAGTCATTTGCAAATCATTAAAACAAATGCTATGGCTAAAATAAACTGCTAAATGCATCAAGTTACATCATCACTATGGTAACACTGACACTGCATTTCCTATACTCTGCGTGAAACACGGGTGTGAGCATTTTTTAAAACTCATCTCACAAAGGCTCTTGGATAAGTGACTGAATAAAGAACAAAGATTCTGAAGCATAAGTTGGTTACTAAGCTTTGTAGTACCTCAGCAAAATTACATATCGCACAGTAATTACACATCCCACCTCATTGGTGGTTCTTTAGTATCTTGAAAGTACATACTGGCTATCACAAGTTTCTGCTAAAGCCCATGTTTTCAAAGACTTCATCTGTCAAACCATTTTTATTAAGGAGTAATTAATTCCTTCCCCCTGTTGTATTTGCCAAAGATATACATTGGCTTGAGTTTTTTTTTTTTTTTCAGTGCACACTAGTCAGTTTCTCCAGGAAGAAATGGCTATACATCAAAACCAAAGATCCAGCATTGCTTCATTGTAGATTAAGCAAGCTTATTGTGCATTCTGTAGTTAGGTTAGGAGTCACAAGTTTTGAAGTTTTTCAAGGTCCCTTCTACATATCATTCTGTGATCTAGGTTACAGGTGAAGACTCTTTCACCGGCCAGAACCACAGAATTGGCATCTTTTACAGTGTCTGAGGCTAACAGCCTGGTATAGCAATTAGAGAATCTCAGCCCTTCTTCATCCCACATCTCTCATTTCCATCCCAGCATTGGCCTGTGTCAGGGCGTGAAATAAGGCATTGAAGGGACAGTTTTGGCACCCTGCCTATTTGCTAAACACCACGCCATGGGAAGAAATGAGTAAGATACAGTTCCTGTCTTTGGGTAATGTACACTGTACTTGCAGAGGCATACATGGAAATGGATCCGTTTAATCTGACTCTGTACAAGTGCTAAGGTTTGTATAGGGAGCTATGGGAGACCAGAGAAGGGGCTCCTGGTGCTGCTTCCAGGTTTAGCAAGGGCTTTCTGGAAGAGGTGATGACTGCAACATGGACCTTCAGAAGCATGGAAGCACTGCAGGTAGTTCAGTTTTACTAAAGTAAAAAGCTTCAAGAAGAGAATTAAGGAGGAGGAGGAGGAGCAAAAGCTGTGTCACGCCAAGGCGCTTAGGTAATAAGGAGCCATTTAGCATTCCCTTGACGAGAACACCTCCTTCCACATCGTGCTCTTTCCTAGGTGACCAGAAGCAGAGCGTGCTCTTCGGAGAAACTTCTCAGGCATCAAGGAAGCAGGACCAGGCAAAAGGAAAAGCATGGCTCACCTGCAGACCAGCTTCGTTCACCTTGACTGTGAGACACATCTAAGAGGCACAGATTAGACCAGAAAATCTAGTTCTGTCTTGAGGCAAGGGAGCTGAACTTTTGCACTTTTATATGGTTGAAACCTGTTGAAGGATGGGTGTGTAATATTAACTTCCATTCAACTGTGGGAAGATCCTTCAAGAAAGGCACAGCTATATGCTTTGTAAGTGACCAGCTTTCACAGAAAATGGTGAATTAAAAGTAATCCAGGCAGGACACCAACAGCACCCAATATATTTACCTAGCTAATTCCTCTATAGGAATCATGTATTCATGTAGAATGGTGTCACTTACTAGTAAACCCTTCCTATTACCAACTGAGGGTTGGGGGTCTTCCTGTGTATCCCCAGGACACTTCTATTTATCCACACATACCCTAATTAATACCTCTAGTTAAGTTTTAAATGTCACAAAGGTTGAGGCTTTACAAACTTGTCTGGCATATAGTAGATACTTAATAATAGCCAAATAGCCACCAAGTTTTGCGACATTACTCTTTTATTAGCTTCATTTCCATCTTTCTACCAATATAATAAACTCAGAGCCATCCTATTACCCTTCTTTAGTTATCCTGACAGCACTATGGAATGTTGTATCTATCAGAACAATTGCACTGTTATGTAAAAACACCAAGCAATTCACAACAAGAGGTGGCTCCCTATTGCCCACTGTGGCCTACTGGTTAGCGCACTGCCCCACTGGCCCTTCTGTGACACATTCTCCCTGGCTCTAAACCTCTGCCTTTGTGATCTTGGTGCCTAGAATGTCCTCCCTGCCTCACCTTGAGCCTGGAGTTTCCTATTTGTCCTAAAAAGCCCTGAAAAAGCCCTATTTCCATCAGTGGCCTCCCCAGACTGTCTTCCTCAGGGAACTTCTACTTTTCTTACCCATCTAGGACCACTGACAGATGTGAATGAATTTTATGTCCCAGAAGCATCATGTACATATTTTTATCCCCTTTTATAGACAGTGCTTCTTGAAGGGAAAGAGTTATGTTTAGCATTTATTTTATATCACCCAAGGCCAGGACTGGCTACATAATTCATGGGACTCAAAGCAAAATGAAAATTCAGGATCCCTTTCAGAAAAAATCCACTAGGGCTGGGGATTTAGCTTAGTGGCACCGTGCCTGCTTCAAAAGCACAAGGTCCTGAGTTTGATCCCTGGTACTGTGGGGAAAAAAAGCGAATGAGAAAACTACTAAAGATTTCAAGATGGCAATAGCAGCATGTTCAACTGAGCATGGGATTCCTAAAGGGGTGTGGACTGTGACCACACCCAAACCCTGAACACATAACAGGCCCAGGAAGCTGGCCTTTCGTAGAGCTATGCATTGCAGTAATCAAAGGCCACTTACAAATAAGTGGATACAGTAAATTAATAAATGTATAATTAAGTCCATTTCTTTTAAAAAGCATCCTTTAGTTTGTTACAACGCTTGTTTTAAAACTAAAGGAAAACAATGCTGTAGGTAAAACTATGTTAGTCAGTAGTTGACTGGAAAGCATTGCTTGAACATTGAGCCTGTTGCCATGTAACTGTTAACCACAGAACGTTAAATGACACATTTTAAGAGGGTGATATCAAAATTGTGGTTCTAAAACAACTATAAAATGGATGTCTATCAAACATTTTACTTAGCTCATTAATTAATGAGAGAACCAGAAAGCTGTTACAATTGGTTCAAAAGAACATCTTAAGACTAGGCTTATTAATAGGCTCTAGGAAAACAGAAATGAATTAGTTTCATGGAATCAACACTGGCTTCTATGAAGGTGGAGGAAAGTCAAGCTGACTTCTACCAGACAGAATGTGACCTTCAGAGACAGGATTTACATTAACATCAGTTTTGTACAAGATAATTTCTATAACTACAAAATTGTAAAACAGCCAGGGCAAAACAACGAAAGGCAGGGATAACCCTGATGTATGTATGGATGGATGAGCTAGTCAAGTTACATACTGCGTGTCCTTCTAAATGCCCATGTCCTACTTTTTAATGTACTTTCGGTGGTAATGGAGATAGAATCCAGGAGCTTCATGTATGCTAGGCAAGTGCTCTACCTTTTTCATTTTTTATCTAGGAAAAAGGTAGACTGTGCACCAGGGAGAATGGTACTGCGTTATTAACCTCCTCTCTAAAAATAAAGCATCTGGAACTTGGAACATGGGGAACATTATTTCTATTAATAGCCACTGTTTCTCTTGTTTCTGTTCCCACCTTTGTAATTGATGTTACCTTTGTTGACAAGTTTGGAAGGAACATTTCTTTCCTATGAACAATGGAGTAGGAAGGACTAATTTCACAGCTGGAATACCAGTAGAAGTCTTGGTGAGGTCATTTTCTTGGAAAGACTCCCAGTTTTGCTCTTAAGAAAATGTATATTAAGTACTTAAACATTATGTGGTTTTTAACTTCTGTGGCAGAATAAGTTCTATAAACAATTAGCCTCTCCAAATAGCCAGAATGTATGCATTTTAAATATTAACTCATTTGTAAATTAAATTATAGATTTTTATCAATTAATGCATTTCAGTAAAATGTTGCCTTTTCTCCAAGGGCCAAACCCACAATACAGTTAAAACAACTTAAAGTATATCCCACAAGGAAAAAAAAAAACTGTTGTAGAACATTCTTGCTACTCAAAATGTGGTCCCTAGGAGGGCACTTGTTAGAACACAGTATCTTATTCTGATGTAGCTTAGTGATAAGAGTGCTTGTCTAACATGCTAGAGGCCCTGGGCCCTGGGTTCCATCTCCAACACAAAGAGGCAGAGAGAAGGGGAAGGGAGGGAGGAAGGGAGGGAGGAAGGGAGGGAGAAAGAGAGAGACAGAGACAGAGATAAAGCTACAGAGAGAGACAGAATGTTAGAGAGAGAAACGCACTCTCTGGCCCCATTTCAGAATTGCTATATTAGAATTCATGAGATGATTTCTGAAGTTTTTACAGTTTCAGAAGTTTTGCTCTGTAGTTTAAGCCCTGAAAGTCACCTCTAATATCTGATGTTTTCACAGGAATTGCCTATCTGTTTGCCAAAGCTTATCTTGTTTCGAAGAAACCACAGTACCTGGATACATGTATCCGGTGTGGGGAGCTCACGTGGCAGAAGGGCCTGCTAAAGAAGGGGCCAGGGATTTGCCATGGTGTAGCTGGCAGTGCCTATGTTTTCCTGCTGCTTTATCGACTTACTGGCAACTCGAAATATATTTACCGCGCCCAAAGGTCAGCCATTCTTCTCATGTTTTTTTTTTTTTTAGTTTTTAATCTAATTAATTTTCTATGTAGGTAAAACAGTCACACGATTTAATACATACAAAAAGAAACTCATCAATAGTGCCCACCGGCCATTTAATTGACTTTCTTGGAAACATTACTATAATATTTTGGTTATCCTCCTAAGGATATTCTGTGTACCTAAAAGCAAATAGGAATGTATTTAAAATTTTGTCCCTCATTTTGATATACAAATGGTAGCAGCTTGTTACATTTTCAAAAACCCTAAATCAGTGCATAAAGGACTTCTTCAATGTTTTTGCTAGGTATTTTGTTTCTTATTGTTTAATAAAAATATTTTAGTGGATAATTGCCAATATTTGGGCTACAAATAATGGTATGATGGATAACCTTATGTAGATATAATTTTTCACATGTATGGATATATGTAAAAGGTAAATTCAGCTGGGCATGGTGGCTCATGCCTATAATACCAGTACTCAGGAGGCTGAGGCAGGAGAATCACCACAAGTTTGAGGCCAGCCTGGGCTACATAGTGAGTTCAAGGCTAGCTTGAACTACACACAGTGAGACCCTGTCTTACAAAACAAGTGAACAAACAAAAAGGGTAAATTCCTAAAAGTGAAACTGATGGACCAAAGGAGATATATAGATATGGAGATAGATATCTATCTATATATTTGTAGTTTTGACAGATATTGCTAAATTGGTCTCTGCAGTTTATTCCCTGAAAATATAAAGATGGAACATCAACTGTATAACAGACAACATACCCTTTAATAGAAATAACTCTTATGGGTAAACTGAGTAAAGTGGACCAGGAAAACTATAAATGAACTTTCAATAATCTGTTAGAATGCACAAGTGGAGGCTTCCCTCAATGCTGACTAGCATGAAACTGGCATTCTCTTTGAGGGGACTTAGAAGCTGTCCATGTTGGTAAGTCGTTACAAGAGGTAGTAGGTTCTCCATGTGTCACTTAGATCCTCTAAGCCAGGGGCCCTTCCCCCACAACCATGTGGTCTGATTCCCTTATATCTGAGCCATCACTCGGTGGAGGCCAAAGATTAGCTCCTGTACTGTTGAGATCATTCCAGTTGAAGGGATATACTTGATGGTTATTATATTAGTGAAGTGATGATTAGCTCGCCACTTAACCTGTTCTGTGCCTCATCTTCCTCATCCATAACATGTGGAAAGCAGGGCCTACTTCACAAGAGTAATGGGTGTTTTAAATGAGTTAACATAGGAAAATCATTTTTAAAATGCCAGGCACATAGTAATTACAATGTAAGTTTACACTGGTATTATTACTACATATAAATTTCAGTTTTCTCATTCTCTGTGCACAAATATGTGTGTGTGTGTGTGTGTGTTTGTGTGTGTGTCTATCTGTCTGTCTGTCTGTCTCTCTCTCTGTCTGCCTTTGTCTGTGTATTCAGGTAAATATTTGATTCTGGAGTTTAAATCTAGGTCCTCATGCATGCAAATAAGCACTTGCTCTATCACTAAACTAAAATGGTCATCTTTATGTGTATTTTAATAGGCTCCTATTATCTGTGTATTATAGTACTTTACTATACATGTTGTTTTGAGCTTGTAATTTTACATGAAGAATTTTAAAGTGACCTTCATTTCAGTTTGCATAGATCTGTCTCATTATTTTAATCAGCTATGGTTATTCACTATGATTGTACTATAATTAATTTAACTAATCTCTGCAGAATGGGTATCAGTTCATGTGCAATCTTTGCTAATACAAAAATTGCTCCAAATATCTAATATTTATTTCTGTGTTCTTGTGCAAATATCTCTTTAGGAGAAATTTTGGAATTAAAATGGCTACATCCTCAGTATTTCTTAGTCTATAATTAGCCTGCCTTTAATATTTTCCCTTTTTTTCTAGTGTAAGTCTTATATTAGGAATCATAACTTTTTGGTAATACATACTGTGAATATTTTCTTACTTTGCCATTTCTCTTTCAGTTTTGTTCAGTCTTTCATTATAAGTATTTTTCTTGTTAAAGTTTTCCATATTTCCTTTAAAATTTCTGATTTATGTTGTTGTTAAAAATAATTTTCCCTTTTCAAAATTACAAAAATGTAATCTACATTTATATCAGTAACTTCATAGTTTTAACATTCAATTTTTTATCTAGAACTATTTTATTTATCGAACAGCAAAAATCCTCAGTAATACAAAAGATATATATTTTGATCATATTTGATATATACTCTGGAGAAGTACTAACATATGTAAGTCCTTTACTTCAAGCTTCATTTCTCTTGGAATTCTGTTAAAATTTTGATTCAGGGCTCTCTAATTCATTTAGGTGGAAAAAAGCCACACCTGTTGTTTCCTAAATATAGCAAATAAAAGTCATTTTGGATTATATCTAGGCTAATGGGTTTCGCCTAGTGATAAATTTCATTAAAAGTTCTCATGCTTTAGAAAGTTTATTAAAATAGCAGTGTAAATTAGTAGTCATTATGGAAATCAGTATGAAGATTCCTCAAAAAGCTGAAACAAGAAACTCCATTTGACTCAACTATTTCTCTTCCAGATGTCTTTGTGAAAGAGTTAAAGACATTATATTATAGTGATCCATGCATACCCATGCTTACAGCAGCACATTTCATAATAGCTAAATATTGTCCTTCAACAGATGAATGGATTATACATAATGGAGTACTACTCTGCCACATAAAAGGATAAATTTGAGACATTTGTAGGAATGAATGTATCTTGAGACCATACTGCTAAGTGAAATATAATCAGATACACAGAAGCCCAAGTACTGCATGCTATCTCTTATATGAGAAACCCAAAATTATAAATAAAAAACAAAATAAGAGATAGATAATAGACAATGAGATAGATCTTTTACAAAACGGAAGCTGACAGGAGGGGCACTGAGAAAAGAATAGAGATATTCTATGTACATGTGCCAAATCTCTATGAAGAATGTAATCATTATGTATTGCAAACATGTATTAATGAAAAATAAAAATGGAAAAGAAAAGCAAAACCTAAAAACATAAAAAATGGATCACAACAAGCCCTCTATTTTCTGGTAGGCCAGTCCCAGTCCTAACTTACAGTCTGGTTTACATGACTGAGTCCAGAGCTGTCCAGCAAATGAAAATTTTTCACTAAAATATGAGACTGAAAATGTGCAGGTCATATATGACTAGTGCTTGGGCATTGCATTTTATTGCTTAGAGAACTGGAATTTCCAATTAATTATAATTCAAAGTTAAAATGATATGGCCAGTACTATCAAACAATATGTCCTTCCCCGGAATAACCATTATTTGATCATCACCTATTACTCTTTTAACTTACAATTAGAATTGCTGGCTACAGAAGATGTTTGCCAGGACCAAGGATTTAGCTCAGTGGCACTGGGCCTGCCTTGCAAGCACAAGGTGCACAGTTCAATCCCCAGAACAAGAAAAGATAAAAGGAAAGGAAAAGAGAGGAGAGGAGAGGGGAGGACCCTAACGATATGCAGTTCTGGGAGGTGTCAGCAGGAACATTAGCTATTCATAATAAAGTATGGAAGAGCCTCACTGTTTAAGCCGGGTGTGGTGTCTGCTCTAGCGCTTGGGAGGCTGAGGCAGGAGGATCACTGAGAGTTTGAGGCCAACCTGGGCTACTCAGCGAGTCCAAGGTGAGCCTGAACTACACAGCGGGAGGGGAGGGGAGAGGAGAGGAGAGGAAAGGAAAATGTTTCGCAACATTTTCAGTTTCTTCAATGGTTACTAAATTATTGCGGTTTTCTACTTTTACTCTTCTGTATTGAATATATTTCCGTAAAACCACATTTTGTTGGATTTTCAAATTTTTGACATAGCGCTCCAATAATATAATTCTGTAATATTTTTAATTTCCTGTTTCTGTGGTTGTACGTCTTCTCATTGAGGGTGATTTTCCTCCTTGATCAGATTTATCTGGCTTTTTCCTCCCCTATTTTGTTCATCCTGTCCAAAAACTGCTCGTGGTTGTGTCTATTATTTATTTTGCTCTTTTACTCCCTACTTCATTATTTTCTGCATTTGTTTTGGTTCCTTTTCTTTACTGTATTATTTTGTAACATTTAAAAATACTTAATTATAAAACCTTCTATCTTTCTATGAATAGAAAAATTCATAAATCTCTTTTCTTCTTTGTTCAGTTTTGATCTTAATCCATTTTTGAATGCATGTTCTCAATGTCATTCATCTTTTTAGCTCCATAATTATCATTCTGACTTTAATTTTGACTGAGAACCTTTTAGAACCATGAATTCTATAGTTTAATTTTTACGCTATTGAGTAGATTTTTTGAAACAATCATTTTTATTTTAATATAAACAAAATTTTTCAGAAATGATAACAAACAGTGCAGGTTAGAATATCATAAATTGCCACTTTCATACATTGGTGATTTTATTGTGAATTGCTATGCATTGTTTAGAAATTATTTTAAAAAGCATGGAAAATGTCTGTCATATTAATTTTAAGTAAAAATGCAGGATATCAAGTAATATAAACTTTAATAAAATGTAATATAATAAGTCAACACTTTGTGGGAGAGGTCAGAAGAGAAAAAATTAACTACAGGATTCTTTTATAGTATAGTTGGAATGGTTTTCTCCATTTTACAAATGTTTATGTGAAAAAATTTTCCATTTTCCACGGCCTTTTATATGCTCAGAGCCTAATATGATATGTTTAATCTTTATAGATAATCCTATGCATTTCTGCAACTTGAGCATTTTAAGATTAAATTTAAAAGTTTGCCAAGGTCATATAACAGGGAATTATCAAATTTGGCTAACTCAAAACTGAAGCCCATTCTCTTTTTCCTATACCACAGATTTTTATTTTGGATTTTGTGAACTTGTTCAAGAAAAAGGATTACATCTCAAACTGAAATGCATTTCCTTCAACTCTAAAAGTTGATTATATATCACAGAATTATTAGGAGTAATTGTGACTCTACAATCAATAGAAGTAACAAATATTCTCATATTAAACTACTCTTATTAAAATATGCTATTTACTTCCATCACTACTTAGAAATGTCAGCAGTCAGTAGGCCCTGAGTTCAATTCCTAGCACGGCAAAGGAAATGCATACATACATATACATATATATCCATACATGCCTCGTTACTAGGCCTTTCTTATTTGATGTAATAATGAAGGCTACAGGTGCTATTATGCTTACAATGTTTAACTGAGGTTAATAGCTTAGTGGTAGAGAATGTGCTCAGCTTCCAAAAACCCCTAGGTTCAATCCCAGTGCCAAAAATATTTTTTTAACTAACCATGCCTTAATATAATGAATTTTCTTTGGAGGTTTCTATATTTTATTTCGTACATTTGAAAACTTTTTTTCTGAGAAGTCAAGACTGCCAAACGATCCATAATGCTAAAAATACAAAAATCCCCCAAAGCTATGCCACAATGCTGATTTCATTATATGATTGCAAATTTTGAATTAATTTTAAGATGCTGTGTTATTTTAATGTTTAAAAGTAAAATTCCATTTTAAATTGTTGTATATGCAAGAAACCATTTGATAGAAAAATTGTACCAAACAGAATCACAGTTTGTTGCCTGCTGATTTATTCCAAGCTTTGATCAATAATTTGAAGAGCCTAAAAAAGATAAAAGAAGTAATTATGCTTCATAGGACCCCCTGTGTAGTAGCAATAATCTAAATTTATGAAAGTATCAGCTTTCAGACTTTACGAAATGTATGTTCCATCCAGCCTCGGAGTTGGTCATTATTTTTGTTCTTGAGGAGAATGAGTAGAGCAAGTCAGTAAAAAATGACATAGGTGACAGTTCTCTGAAAACTATAAACTACTATAAAAATGTTACTTGTTATAAACAATCTGGATAACATCTGTGGCAAATGTAAGTAAGATATTAAAGATCTTTTATAGAGAATTTAAAGGCCACTGATATTTTTAGGATGGATGTCTTAAAAATAATCTGGCTTGTAACTGAGTTTGGTATTTGATGTCATCATTATAAAAAGTTCCTTGCCTTTTTACATTTATTTTATTCCTTTGTTTGCCCAAAGCACATATTGTGTAAAATCTCGCACATTTATTTTCCCAGGCTCTGTTCTCTGCCACATACAAATGAAACCTAGCTTAGAAATAATATGCCTGCAAAAACACAGGATATTTACTTTTTTTTTTGAAGGAGCACAGAGCTATCACTTTGTTTCTATTCAAGAAAAATAAAAGTATGGTTAAAAATAAAAGAAGGCTTATGTACCTTCTTTGTTTTTAATTTTTAGATGACAGAGGGAATAAAATCCTCAGAAAATACCAAAGTTTGCTTTGCAAACTCTGAAAATAGTTGGATTTGCTTGCCAACATAATTTGTAGTGAAACATACACAATTATGTAATGGCTCTTTTTTTTAACTCAGAAAACTAGTCTCTCTTAAAAGAATTATATAATTTTGGGAAGAAAATAATGCTAAAATTTTAATTTAGCAGAAGAGAAAGAAGCAACTCAAGGCCAATAATATGGAAGTACTTATGTTAACACTGCTTTTTTTTTCTTTTTGTCTTAGGTTTGCCCAGTTCTTATTTACTGAGGAATTCAAGGCTGGTTCTCGGGTTCTTGAAAGTATATACAGCTTGTATGAAGGCTTCTCTGGGACAGTGTGCTTTCTGATCGATCTGCTGCAGCCCAATCAGGCTGAATTCCCTCTTTTCAGTGTCTTTGTTTAGAAGGTTCCATCTCCCACTGTGGCCCTGAAGAAGTACCCTGAGATATCTTGAGCCTCTCTAAGGCAGTTTTCACATAAGCCACAATAAATGGTATCACAACAATGAGCCTTAACATTGCCACCAGAAGAATGGGAGAAGGCAAGTGAAGGCAGCATACCAGACTGGAGAGAGAACCTGCGAAATGTAGATATAACAGCTCACCTGAAAATGTTAGATTTACTATTTCAGGGAATAGATGTAAAACCAGGTATCGGAGGGAAAATAGGAAGATAAATGATGTATTTTCCAGGGAATGACATAGAAAACAAAACTGAAATGGTGGCTGTGGCAGTAAAATGCTAACACCTTCACAATTGAAGACAGAATTCAACTAACTCGGTGCCCTCCACCCCTAAATTCAGAAGTAAAGACAATCAAAAACTAAAATAATTTTATCCCAGTGAAAACTGCTAGCAGGGAGGAAGTGTCAGAATGAAGGACATAAAAGGAAATCCTTGGTTGTCCTATGCCTTTATTTATTAAAATTCATGATTTTTACCGAATCATGATAATTGCATATTAATCTATTTTTTATCATTATCCTAGGCACTTTAAAAACATTGTATCATGACTTAAACACTGAAATTTATGGTTTTCTTACTACATATTATCTCTTTTCCTAGTTTATTTTTCTTTCCTAAAGCAAAATTAGAATAGTGAAATTCCAGGCTGGGGGTGTAGCTCTCTCATAGAGTACATGCCTAGCGTGTTTGAGGCACTATGTTCTACCCTTAGTACTACGGGGGGGGTTCATAAGCTAGAAATACTGTAGTAAGTGTTGCTACCAAGTGTTTCTTTCACCATTTGAAATGTGAGCTGTGTATTTTCTATTGTTAGCAGTTTCTAAAATGCTTTTATGTGCATAATCCCTACAAAGCTATTATCATACTGTAAAGTATGCTCTTAATAAAAACCACTCATCTCACAGATCAGGGTAATCACTACAAAGGCATGTTATGTTTGCCTTTGATGGAATGTTATGTCCCTTGGGACAGATAAGACACAGGCTGAGAAAGGCACCAGTGCTTATGGAATGTTGCTCCATTTTATACTATTAGATTAAGAGTCAAATTAGTTCATTGGTGGTTAACATATCATCCAAGACAAGGTACACTAGAAATTGACCATAATACACAGAGTCCAGTTATCAAAATGAATCTTCCTGTAAACACATAGAAAGTATAAAACTGCTTCGGGTAAATAGTGTATTGCAGAACATTGTAGGAATGTCTGTCACTTTAATTCACACTACATGTGTTTACCGCTGTCCTAGAACTTGATCACTGACAATTTCATACATCACATTAAAAAGGAAATTATACTGTATAAAACTTAACTATTTAAAGTCACTTGATATTTGGATGTATTTGAATATATACATAT